TAATGTTTAGTATAGAGCTTACAAAAAATTCGCAGTGTGAGATAGGCAAGAAGTAAGGCGTGTAGCAACATCAGCACGGAAAAGGGCACTCCTTTAAAGGCAAGGAAGGGCAAAAATATTTTAAGTCAAGTGATAGCGATTGCTGTATGAGTCGTACGATTTTTGAATCAAGCACGGGCAACGCCGGGCCATGCTGCTAGTATACTCTAACAGATTACATTCAGTTTCTGTTTCATATGTTTGTACTACTTGCTACTCTTGCTTTAAATATTGTTGTCATATCTGGTCTGGTGCCCCTGATATATATGTAGAGATTCTTGAAAAACTCTAAAGAAGAATCTCCAATGTTATTTGTTCTGACCTGCCATCTTGGCTTCAGTCAATTTCCGACAGCCATAACTGCGCCTTTTTCTGTAAATAATTTCATGGATGACCTTTCTGCTGTGGTACATAGATTTTATCAATTTAAGCGCAGTCCGTGATTGGCGGCAAATTTTCATCATTTTACAGTCGAAATGGTTAGATGTAACCGTAAGTTCTATGCTAACATTTTCTTCTATCGCACTTCTCGCTTGTGGAACTCTGTTCCAGCTTCTGGCTTGCGAGACAATTTTGATCTTCAAAAATTTAAATGTAATGTCATTCGTTAACTTCTGTCTTAATTCCTGTTCTTTTATTCTCCTCTTTTTTTAATAGAAATCTTTTCTCATATTCGCTAACACTCACTAAACCACTTGTGTCCTTTATTGCCTTGATTGGAGTGAAATGATTAAAATCCTATCCCACATTGTGATAACAGAAGATCTACTAATAAAAGTGAAATGCTGTAAGAAGCTGAGTGTAAATTTAATGTAGATGATCTAGCAATTAAAGCACTTTCTATACATTTTCGTCTTAATAAATTGGTTTCTCTTTCAAGTAATGTAGCATTATTTAAATCAAAATTGGGATCAATCTTGTTACATTGATCATCTAATGCATTTAATGTGTTGTTTTGTATAAGATCCCTTTTATGTTCATAAAACGAGCTGCTCTCTACGAGGGGAACGTGAGCCCTTTTCCCGGAAAAGGTACTAAAGAGGTTCTCACCTGTGCAGAATGTAGGCGCGTATGCAGTTCAAAGGCTGGGTTTATTAGTCACCCACGTCACCACAATGACAAGACAATCAGTTACTGTTGTGCCCAGCCTGATTTCACTCGCAATCTATTAAAAACGTGTGCAGGTCGGCGAGTAGACTTACCCAGCATTACAAGTTGTGGCACCATGATATCAATGCAGCAAGTTGTAAGCATGCATGTAAACCCGTGGTTTAAAGTGTAAGCCATTCATTGGATTAATGACTCCTCAGAGATGTTATCAGTCTCAAGGAAATCAACAACAAAGTCATGGAAGTTGTTGTATACGAGTTGACTTTCCATCATGTAGATATTTAAGATAGATGTGTATGGGGTGCTAATCTGAACAGTCCTTACGAAACATATATATTACATACAGTACCATATAAAGAAAAGCTACTCTATTATATTATTTAACCCATAGTATCCCTCTGACTTTTCTAAAATATTTTCATGTCAACTGGTCTGAGGCGCTTTTTTCCTGGTGCGCCGACTATATGAATTTACACGTGCTACTAGATTGGCAACTAGGTCCCGCCCTTTTACTATTTAACGAGCGAGAATCAACAGCTACTTCTACTTTAACAGTTTCTTTTCTCGCACTTTCCACCTGTGGAACTCCCAAGATTTCTTGCTTCCCTGATAACTACAGTTTTCAAAAAATTAAGTGCGACGTCAATCATTGTCTTTTGTCGTATTGAACCCTGTTTTTTTTTTCTTTCCTCAATCCACCTTATTCTCAGTCTTCTTGTTTTGTTTTCTTCCTCTTTTGTCTTCTCTCTCACTTTCACTTTCACTTTCACTTTATGTAACGTTCTGGGAGGAGCAAAAAAAAAAGAAGATCTACCCCTTTCCCAAGGCTCACGAAAGTGAACACAAAAAACGTGCCCGGAATTTGAACTCGGCACGCAGTTTCCACTTCCGGCGGGCATAACTTCTACTAGTTTGCCAAAAACAGTGTGGAAATCGAAAGACAAAGTTGAAGCCAATTTATTTAAGTTATTTAAAGACATGGCCGATCATGGCTCTCCGCAACTTCCGATCTATTCTTGCAGTGAGTAATGTTTCAACCTTTATCATCTTTCTCTCTTTAGTATATAGTACCGGGTGTAACAGCAAAATTGTCCAAATCGTGTAACTGCAAAAATGTCCATTTGTTAGATTAAGCTTTGAACCGTTATATCTTAGAAATGATTAAAGATATCTTACTGGAATTCTCCGACGATTTTCTAATACTATTGAACTCTACTTTGAACAATAAGAATGTATAATTACTTTCTAAGCTAAACATAAGAATCGTGATGAAATTTATCATAAACGAAAATGACATGTTCATCATTAATTAATCATAGGTAAGGATTGGAAGCTCATGAAGGATTTATATAAAGTACATATATATATATATATATATATATATATATATATATATATATATTTGATAAGCAGACTCACTCTACACCTTTCTGACCATAGATGAATTAGATCTCATTTAAATATTCATGGAGACCTACCGGACACTATTCGTAACATAATTGTTGGCAACACAAATATAATAGCATCACCTACATACAAAAAAGGCTAAAAAATAATGGAAGCCTTATTAATAAAAACAAAAAAAAAACCAACACTTAATAATATTAACTATGAACATGGACACAATATCTTGACTGTGTTTTGAAAAATGAAAACATTATTTAAATACATACATGCAACAAACTATTTCTAATTTAGTTAGTGAAAATGGCTAAATGTATAGCCGAAAGCGCTCGGAAAAAAAGAACATGCTGAAATCTTTTATAAGATCAGCGTTCCGTTTAAATATGATCCCTGATCTTATAAAAGATTTCACTTATCTGTTTGGATTGGTCTTGCTTTTATATTCATCGTCTTTTTCATGTTGAATTGTATATGGTCCATGTTAATTATGTTTTATGAATACGTCCTGAAGATGGTCTATTAGATCGAAACGTCCGACGTTGACATTAAAACAGCATAATCGCATATTAGGATTTTTGTTTTGTCTTTTTTCCAGTATATTTTTCTTCATATACATACATATATATATATAAAACGTCATCCACAGACAGACTGTTTCGCAGCTCATCAGTGTGGCTAGACATCCGGTTGCCTCTAGCTAGGATCGAAACCCGACTGAATTGGTGTTAGTCGGAGAGTCTAACCATTAAGCCGTCGCACGGTAGGGATGAAAATGGAGTTTTAGCGTATTTATTTTTAGAAACACGCCCAGTGACCGACAGTGACCCAATTCGCATCTGCGAAGAGTCTCGCTATATAGCTATAATAGTCACTGTTTACCAACACACACCTCGTCCCCAGAGAGCTCAACTGAAATTGATATTTCAGGAGCCAATATATATATATATATTTATGTTTATATTTATATACACACAATTTTCACATACACATGTATATATATATATATATATATATATATATATATATATATATATATATATATATATATATATATATATATATATATATATATATATATATTATTCCAGGGTCATTTTCCAACTTATTCAAGATGATCTTCGCTCTCTACCCTTCTAACATTCTCTGCTTGAGTAATAAGGTGCCTCACAGGTTTCACGTACGATTTCATTTTCAAGTCTTTTGTCATTGTTCTTTGAGCTGTCATAGCTGAAATCCTCTCTCACGTTCAAAACGTATTATGGCTTGGGTTGGATCTTTTCTCATTGAAATTGGATCTTTAGCTCCAAGTTGAAATGATGAACCCTCTTCCCGATGCACCCTCCGGATCCAGTGTTCTTCCCTACTGCTCCCTCTTTTTTAAACTTATTCCCTGTTCTCTTGATGGTTCTTGAATGGACTGGGAAGATGGAAGCCAGTTTATGAATATTGGTACCATTACTAAATGCATAAATGAACTTTTTCCTCGCACCATTGCTCAGTTGGGATGAAAGTGGGGATGACACAAAACGATTTTAACCTGCTCTCTTCCTAGCTGAATAAACCAAAGTGTTTTCAGTTGTTCCTACGACAAATGGTGTCAATATGGCTATCTTATTTGAAAAACTGCAAAAAAGAAACTCACTTAGTTTAGTGGATTTTTAGACATCAAACTTTTTGTGGGATGGACAATTATGCTGTTACACGATCTGAACAATTTTGCTGTTATATATATTTACTCGCTATATATAAAATCCTAAGGAGCTTGTGTAAATGCTTCCCAGAGCAAGGATAATAAGGTTTATCACTTTCCCCATCCAAGGTGGCAAATCTTACTAAGAGCTATAAAGGATGAGAAGTTGTGGAGAAATATTACCGTGTCATAGAGAAGACGTCTGCGTGAATGTTGGGTTTATCTGGAAATTAGATGTCAGTGTAGGTAAAGCCTTTTAATTGTCATATTGACGAGACTTTGAAGGTATAATATTTCGTTTTTGTAGTAGATATGTGTCCAGTACTTCTAATGGCAACACGTCTTGAAAGATTTGAAAAGTGATTTGCTTAAAATGTCTCTCCCCAGTTTCCAAGCACCGCCCCTCCTCAGCGGGTTACGGTGACATGACAAGTAGTTCCCTTCCTTTTCTTCTTCCGCTTTTCCAAGTTCCATCGCTCCGACTCTGACGTCTTCCCACAGGTTCCTTATTCTTAAGCGGACTTAATGAAATGCACTTCAACTAATTGAACACAATATAATGAATGTCATCGCTCGCATATTTTGTTTGTTAATGTCATGAAGGAAATCATTACATTGTAAAAAAAATAATAATAATAATAATAATAAAAAAATGCTAGGGATCGGAAAAAGAAAAGGGTGTGGTCGATCAGGAGGGCTTATGAAAGACAGTAAGAGTCGGTGGGACGAAAGAAAGACGAAGATTGAGGAGGTAAATCTAAGAGAGGGCGATAGAAAACGAAGAAGAAAGAGTATATAGAGAAACAGAGAGGGGTCCGTAAAAAAGAAGATAATAAAAAGCAAAGAGAGAGAGAGAGAGAGAGAGAGAGGGGGGGAGAGAGAAGCTAAGAGAGGGACGCAAAAAAAGAAAGACAAAAAGAGAGAAAGGAAGATGGTTAAATATATATAGAGAGAAAAATGAGGGTAAAAAAGAGAGATGAACGGGGAGAGACGTAGAGAGAGGAAGAGGGATATGAGAAGAAAAGTATAATGAAAAGAAAAGGGATAAACTAATAAAGACAGAGAGAGAGAAAGAGAGAGAGAGAGAGCAAAGAGAGAGACTAAAAAGCGGCGAAGAAAGAGATAGAGAGAGATAAACGAACCAAAAGAGAGATTAAAAAGAGAAAGAGAAAAAGAGAGTGAGAGAAAGAAGGTTGGTTAAATAGAGAGAGAGAAAAAATGAGAGTAAAAAAGATAGATATAGAGTAAGGAAGAGGGGAAAGAAGAAGAAAAGGACAAGAAAAAAAGGGAATAGCGATAAACTGATAAAGACACTGACAGTGAGGGAGAGAGAAAAAGAAAGAAAGCGAGTGGATAAAACGATGACGTATTAAAAGTGAGAGAGAGAGAAGAAGAAAAACAATGATAGATGTGTCAAGTGTGAGGTGAAAAAAAGAAGAAATAAAACAAATAGAAGGAAAGAGAACGAAAAACAGCGAGAGGGATAAACAGAGAGAGAAGAAAAAGAGGGTGACAAAGGGAGGTAAGTATTGAGAGATGGAGAATGGGGCAGGAGGGAGAAGGAAGAAAAGGACAATAAAAGGAAAGGGAAAAGCGATAAACTAAAAAAAAAAAGATACAATGAGAGAGAAAAAATATAAGAGAATACAAAAGAAATAAAGGGGGAGAAAAGCGACCACTGAAGAGGGGGGGGGCGAAAAAGAAAACAGAGAGAGAGAGAGAGAGAGAGAGAGAGAGAGAGAGAGATGGCAAACGCGGCAAACGAGATAACTCGACAGATTACATTCATGCGGCAGGCGAGATAATTCGCCAGATTCGACCCCACGGTGTGGACGGGTTAACGCGCAAGATTGTTATAACGCGGCAAAACGAAATAACTCGCTAGACGGCACAACATGCGACAGACGAGACAACGCGTGAGACTGATCTTATGCGGCAGCCGAGATAACTCGTGTGATTGATCTTTTGCGGCAGACGAGATAACTCGTAAGATTGATCTTATGCGGCAGACGAGATAACTCGTGAGTGATTTTATGCGGCAGACGAGATAACTCGTGAGATTGATCTTATGCGGCATACGAAATAACTCGTGTGCTTGATCTTATGCGGCAGACGAGATAACTCGTGAGATTGATCTCACGCGGCATACAAGATAACTCACCAGGTTACTCACCATGACTCGCAAAATGGCTACCACGCTGCAAGCCTGATTTCACCTAAGCAGCAGGCGAGATAACTCGCCCGATAGATCACGCGCGGCAGACGAGATAACTCGCAAGATAGCTACCATGTGGCAAAACGGGATAAGCCACTTGATTTTGTTTTCCGACGAAGCAAAACGAGGAAACTTGATCGAATGCTGCAGACGAGATAACTCGCCGAATTGTTTTCAAGCGGCAGAAGACGAGTTATTATGCTGGATTTTTCCTCCTGCGGTGGACGAGATAACTCGTTAGTTTACATTCGCGCGGCAGAGTTAACTTGCCAGCGCGTAATTGATATGGAGACAATATCAGGTTCGGCGTTTGTTGATGTGAAGAGCATCCTGAATAGTTGCCCTTCCGTAGTATCATCCAAGATTGCTGAAATCTATTTTTTTAATTTTCCTTCTTCTATATTGGTTGACAACAAAAGTTAGAGGTCCCACTATTAACATCCACTGTCCCTCAAGCAGTGTAAGACATACTCAACTAACTGATGTCAGGCAAAGAAAATCCACATTTTAGTTTACCAAGAAAAACACATGTTAGAATCTCCAATCAAATCTGATAACAAGTCACGAGAGCCATTCCTGGTGGAGCATCAGCTCATTTGTTATTATTATTATTTTTATTATTATTATTATTACTATTATTATTTAAGATGCCTTCCAAAAGGTATCTTAAACAAAACTAAACAAAGAAGCAAAGCAAGATATATTTATGAATTCAGAGTAACATTTCCACTAGGCTGGCTGTCAGTCACGGCTATATAGAGAAACCTGGTCTGCTATTTAACCCATTGATGGAAGAGTAGAGATGGATTCATACTTTCTCAAAGTTTTTTTGTGCGAAATTGAATGCAACGGGCTCAGCAGGATTTCTCGTTTCGAGCCCGCTATCCTGACTGCACATCCATCCGAAGCTTTTAGATTCTCTAAAAATATGAAATGTAAAATATAAATCGATCATTTCACCTCTTCCTCAACAACAAGTAATTAACTAATCGATAATCACTAATGAGTAAAATGTTAACAAACAAAACTATAATCGCATTCGGATACACAATCATTTTTACCAAATTGTCTCTAGAATAATTTGAAGTATAACTGTTACCATTGATCAGCATATATAAGTAGTTGAGCTAACACAGATCACTCATGGCCTGAAGATTACATTCAAGCATGAAACAGACTCTCTCTGTTCGGTGTTGACTGCAGTGTCCACTTTTTACTATTTTATTCCTTCACACTTCTGAGTTGACAATGCCAATATAGAGGTCTTCTTGTTCGAAATAGCTATTTGAATGAGATAAATTTGAATTTCAGTCTATGTAATCTATCTATCTATCTATCTATCTATCTATCTATCTATGGTATAAAGGATAGGAAGTTGTGGGGAACTATGTTGGTTCACACAAGTTCTATGTGAACGGTTTCTTATCTTGCGATTCCAGTTTGGAAAACTTTCTTCAGGTTTCTTGCTTTTCAGTTAAATTTGAACTTCAAAATTTTAAATGCAATATCAATCGTCATCTTCTATCTGCATTAACCCTGTACTTTTATTGTCTACTCTACTTAATAAAGATTTTACTTAGATTCTTTCACTCACAATAACCCCATTACGTCTTAGTGGCTTTAAGCCACCTAATGCAATGTTGGATCTATTATTTTTGCTAAATCTCTGATTGTTTTGGAGGCGGTTAAGGATCTTGGTGTTGGAGATAACATGTTTGTTCTCAAATTCTGTTGGATTCTTGTCAGATTCTAATTCATATTTGACCCCATATATATATATATATATATATATATATATATATATATATATACAGCTCCATCAGAACACATTTAAACACACACTCACTACCACACACTGAACATACACAGAACGCACACACTCTACTAAGCTGATAATCGAATCATCCTTGATAATGGCTAAAGGTATAGCCGAAAGTGCTCGGAAATACAAAACATTCGGACAGTTCTTACACACCTTTGTCCAGAAAAGAAAGCTCTTGTCAGAACACAAGAAAAATTAAATAAAAAGCTCAACCGTAGTACCTTGTCTGTCGTTTTTAATGAAACATGCATATATATATATATATATATATATATATATATATATATATATATATATACTACACACAGAATATAACATACTTTAAGCAAAGCCCATAATTTAAGCTCAGCAAATAAGGTAACCGACCCCCAAAATAATAAAAAGTAAAAATAATAAAATAACAAATAAACAAATAAATCAATCAAAATAAACATATTAAGTAAATAATAAAAAATTAAAGTATAAATACACACATGGACACAAAGAATTGTATTAATAATAATCAGCAACAAATAATTAAGTAATCGATAATAAATAATAAGTAAAAAGTTAACAAACAAAACTATAAAATCGGTACTAATAAATAAATACATTTTGATCCACAGTGATTCCTACTCAGTCGCCTCCAAAAGAATTTGAAGCATAACGGTTACTGCCCACGTAATAACCTTTAGGATAATACAATAGACCTTACTATCGATTAACAGCATACATAAAACAGTCAAGGCAACATGGCCTGAAGATTGCGTTCAAGCATGCAACAGACTGTCACCAGAATTCGAGAGCAATGATTATGAATTTTGGCAGTCTTTAATTTGGTCAGATGAAAGTAAATTCTACCAATATTCGAATTCGTGATTGGTTTATATTTGAAGAAATCAGAATGAGACTTGGAACACTGAATGTCTGCAGGCGACCGGGAAACATGGAGGAATTGGAGTGATCGTGTGGGACGCTGTCTGGTTTGGAGGGAAATCTGAGCTGATTCTTGCTGACGAGCAGTTGAATGGTCCAAAATACTGTCAAATATTAGAGAAAGGACTACTCCGACTATTTGAAACCAATCAGATTAATAAGAATTTTCAAGAAGACGGAGCGCCATGTTATACGAGCAAAGTAGCAAAGGCCTGGAAGGAATCGCAAGGAATCAAGTCACTGCCATGGGGGTCCAATAGAGTACGTTTGGGAGCACCTTGACTGTAGATTTTGAGAGCGTGCAACCAAAATCATGTCAGTGGCAACCCTTAAAGAAACATTGCCAAAGTAGTGGCAAAATATGGCTCAGACGATTGTTGATAACTTGATCAATTCCATGAAAAATCGAATACAAGCACTGAAAACTAGCAAATGGAGGACCTACTCCATACTAGTTCCAAATACTGTTTGTCTATTTTGAATAGGAATTAAGTAATTAAATTTTGAAATTGGATGTAGTTCATTTCTCCAGGTTAAAAACTTTTCTTAGGCCACTGTATATATATGCTAAAAATTTATGGTATATATGATAGGATAATGGAAGATATACATATTTTGTTATTGTTTTGTACAAATACTTTCGATGTTTGTAGTCATGAACAAGAACCAATATGGAGTCTTTGTCGTATTTAGAATTCCTTTGTCTGCATCCTGGTATTATACGGGAAGCTGGAAGTTTGATACGGTCTGGCGTGACGTCATGTTTAACGGCTACTGGGAACGAGGCTGCACAAAAAGAGTGTGATTTATATACTTATTTTATTTTATTGTATTTATTATTTTGTTTATTCATTTGCATTTTTTCTTATACTAATATATGTGTATATTAATTATAATATATGTGCATATTAATTATACCATATGCACGCCAAGATACGGTCACCTATTGGGAGAGATATTTTGTTTAATGGTGGGTGTTTATTTTGTATAATAATAGCTACTAGTGTTTTAAGTCTTTTCTTGTGTTGGGTGCTGTATGTATGCGTGCGTGTATATTTGTGTGTAGATATATGTCAAGAGATATCTGTTATTTCACGTGGCTCTTCTTAGCCGTGCTGATATCTACATGCTTACCTTGGTTCTGGCAGTAGGTAATCTATCTATCTATCTATCTATCTATCTATCTATCTGTGTGTGTGTGTATTTGATGGGTGTTGACTTCAGCGTCCACTTTTATATTTACATACGTTATGTCCTTTATATTGAGCATTTAACCCATAATTATAGCATAACTTAATATTTTATCATATCTATCTATCTATCTATCTATCTATCTATCTATCTATCTATGTCTGTTCATATCTATCTATCTATCTATCTATATATCTATCTATGTTTGTTCATATCTATCTATCTATCTATCTATCTATCTATCTATCTATCTATCTATCTATGTCTGTTCATATCTATCTATCTATCTATCTATCTATCTATCTATCTATCTATCTATGTCTGTTCATATCTATCTATCTATCTATGTCTGTTCATATCTATCTATCTATCTATCTATCTATCTATTATTTTATTCAGCCGAGCTAGCTTGGATATTGATGAGTCTATTATATCAACCATCGCAGTCCTACATCAAGGTCAGAAGGTCATTAGCGAGGCATTCTATGTAAGATAACTGGGCAAACAACCCATCTTGCTCCCAGGCTAGGTTCCCAGAGCAGTAGATCCCTTGGGAGTTCTAGTTTCACTCACCAGCAGCGTCATGTAAAGCGCATTCTGTGATCCTGCAAAATTGTAGAAATATCAGGAATAAGTCCCTAGAGCT